CAAATGTGAGGTTAATATGGCACCCTTCTCTAGATCAGTAGGGCAAGCCCATGACATGCATGTTATTTGTTTTTCTTTTAAGACAAAAGATGTTAATGTATGAGTTGTTTTTCTAAACTGAAACCTCAGTATTCAGGTTTAATTGTAGTGTTGGTACTTTGCAATAAATAAGTGGGTTTTGGGTTGCAGTTTGGGCACTCATCTCTGAAAAGTTCGCTTCACTGCTCTAGATATTGTGTATATGATTTCTCTCATCCTGATGATATTTTGAGGTGAGAGAACTGATACCATTCATTTTTTGTTTTATAGAGAGAAAACAGACATAGCTAGATATAGCTTTATAAACAAGAATGTTTATCTGATTGAAGATTGGCTAATATTTTAGAGATTTTCTCCAGTAGTAGTAGTTATAATTGGTTCAGTGTGTGCTAAGTGTTGAGAGCTTTGAAGAACACATGGTAAGTGCTCCACAGGGCTGGGAGCGTCGCTCAGCGATAGTGTTTGCCTAACATGCATAAGGCCTTGGGTTCCATCCCTGGCACCACAAATAAAAGTCAAGTAGGTAAGTGCACCGTAGTGCTCACTTGAGCAGCACATGTACTAAGATTGGGATGATAAATGCTCCATAATGTTCAATTTTTCACCCTTGCTCCTCATACCCTTCATGAGGTGGGAATTACTATCACTTTTGTTTTATAGAGGATGAGACTAAGGCTTAGCAAGACAGTGATATAATTTGTTCTCTCAAAAAACAAGTGCATCCACTGCTATAACATTTATAGATTTTGGAATGCAAAGGCTGCATTGCTTTTTTGTTCCTAAGTTTAAAAATAACATGTACTTTAGCTAAAATTACTAGATTAATGGCTAAAAGCCAGTATAGAAGTGGATTTTCCACTGTTTAAAGGGGCCAAAATTTCTAGGAGAAAACCTTCTGTAGCTAAACCTAAATAACAAAGAATTGAACTATACATGTTGAAATTTTCAAGCCTAAAAACTCTTCTCTAAAGCTGGTTTTAGTACTTAAACTCTGCTTTTCAGCAGAATCATTTGGATAATGATTTGTGTTTGGTGTTTTTAAACGTTAAAGTTAATATATAGACATTGCAAGAATTATATCAAGAAATCAAATTACTTTCCCTTGATAAGGAATATACTTAAGAAAGAACAACAGCTCTGGGCTTCCTTGTGTGATTGCTTGTGTGCTATAGGGCAGAGAGGACTTTAAATTGGTCTCCTTTTATTTTTATCGTCTAGACACAGTCTCGTAAGAACATTATAATAATTTTAAAGAAGATATCATTAAGATCTGTCTTTTAATTAGAGAGTGACAATTTGCTTATGAAATTATTAGGTTTCAAAAATTATTGAGCTCTTCTAGATTGCCAGTGGGAAGGTGAAATGATACGGCCATTCTGGAAATAAGTCTGGAAATTTCTTCTAAAGTTAAACATACCTATTCTGTGACGCAGCAGTGGAGCTCCCGAGTATTTATCCTAGAGATATGAAAGCTTATGTTCAGACAAAAACCTGCCCATGAGTGTTCATATCAGCTTAGCTTGGAATAGCCAAAAACTCACCACAACCCAAATGTTCTTCGTTGTGTAACTGATAATCACACTGACACCCTCATGTTATGGAATACTGCTGACAAGAAATAAAAGGAATAAACTATTAAGGCACTCAGCATCTTGGATCCATCTTTAAGGGCATTGTGCTGGGTGAAAAAGCTACTCTTTACAGGTCAGATACTGAGCCAGGCATGGTGATGCATACCTGTAGTCCTAGCACTCTGGGAGTCTGAGGAGGAGGGTTGCAAGTTCCAGCCCAGCCTGGACAACTTACTGAGACCTTGTCTTAAGGTAAAAAGGGATAGGCATATAGCTCAGTGCTAAAGCCCTGGGTTCAATCTCTAATACTGCCAAAAAACCAAAATGAGTCAGGTACTACACAATTCAATTTATATGACTTCTCACAATAGCAAAATTAGATGGAACTTACCAGTCGCTGGAGGTGAGAAAGGGGGTGACTAGAAAGAGAACATACAAGCAATAACAATACCCCCATGAATCTGTGGTGCAGAGACTTGAGAAGAAAACAGTTAACAAAAGGCTTTTGAGTACTATAAAGTGGACAAAAGAGCAATGGCTGGCTCACAGGAACCTCAAGAGCCTTCAGAAGAGTGCAAGGGAGATCCTTCTCATTCTCTCATACACGCACAACTGTACACATGTGTGTGCACAAACACACACATACACGGACACAAGGCTGGAATAGAAGTCTGGTATACAAGGTGGTTGGATCCTCAGGCTCCCTGTCCCACCTTAGCCACTACCAGCAGCAGCAGCTCCCTCTGCCTGGCAGGTTAGAGACTTGAATATCACCAGGAGTTTGGGGGAACCCTTTAATGTGAAAGATGCTTAGTAAACAGTGAGGAAAAGTAATCAGATGACATGGGGGTCTGGAATAGAATAAAATACCAACAACTTATTTTCAGATATGACAAGATACTGCACTCATAATCCAAGAATACGAGGATTTTTTGGTGGTGGTGGTTTTTCTGGCACTGAGAATCAATCCCAGGGCCTTGTGCAAGCTAGGCAAGCATTGTACTGCTAAGCTACACCCAAGTCCTTTTTCCTTTGAGACAGAATCTTGCTAAGTTGCCCAGACTGGGCTTAAACTTGGCAGTCCTTCTCCCTCAGCTTCTTGAGTAATTACCATGCCTGGCTAGGAGGATACGTTTTAAAAGGAGCAGTCAAAGAACTTTAAAATGCTCTTAGAAATTTAAAATACATCAAAAGCTTAAATAAATAGAGTTGGAATGTCTAGAGGTATACCTAATCAAAGAAAATGAATCAGAGAAAAGCTAAAATAGAGAATAAATCTGATGTGTAATCTTCAGCAAAGCTCTAGGAAGAATGAAGAAAAGAAACAGGAACATTTTCCAGGCTGAAAGACCTGATTTTCCACATGGCTAGGGTCCACCAAGTGTCCAGTGAAATAGATGGAAGAAACACCCACACTTAGGCAGACCAGTATCTGGTTTTACAAAACAGGAATAAAGAGATGGCTTCCAGAAAATAATCTTTAAAAAAGGAGAAAGCCACATACAAATAAAAGGAAAGCTGACTTCTCAGCAGCAAAATTGGATGCTAGAAACAGTGGAGCAACGTCTTAAAAAATCTAAGAAAATATTGCAATCTCTCACACTCTACCCAGCAAAATATCAAATAAATGTCAAAGTGAAGGTAATTTCAAACACGGGGACATAGGTTCTCTTTCACGTTTCATTTCTTAGATCATTTGGGGGGAATGACCTGTAGCAGAAAGGAAGGAAGAATGTTGAAGATGCAGATCTAGCTAATGAGAGCTAATCACTGTCAACCAGAGAGGGGCACACAAGGATGACAGTGTGGCAGACCGAGGACAGTCAGGCCAGGCTGAGCAAGAGGACAGGGAATCCTTGTAGGAGGTTCTAGGGACAAAACATGGAATAAATTAGCTGACAGCTTTGTATATTTGAGAAACAGTATTGATAAGCCTCTGCTAGATCTGACAGGACATATGAAAGAATTTAAGGTAGACACACAGAAACTGAGCACAGGGAGGGGGGATGAGACAATTATTAATCCCAGGAGAATCAAAAATGCTTTGCCAAGCTAGTCGTGGTGGTGCACACCTGTAATCCCAGCACTCGGGAGGCTGAGGCAGGAGGGTCGCAGCACGTTCAAGACCAGCCTGGGCTATACAGTGAGTTCCAAAGCAGTCTGAACTATATAGTGGGACCCTGTCTCAAAACAAACAAACAAAAAAAGCTTTACAAAAACCAAAAAGTTATGTTTAGTATATTCCTTACATTGTAGTGACCAGTATTGAGTCATAATCAACACTACTGATTTACCAGAAAAATGCCAATTAATTACTGTATATGGGAAGGATCGAGGGAGGGCAAGAGGGGTGGTATAGAGAGCTAGGTCCTCTGGTACTGTAGTAGAAACCAGTAATTTCTGTCCCAATTTGAGAAGTCAAGAATATTCAAAAGCATAAATAGAATAACAGCTTAATTACAAATATTCTTGGGAATAAGAACAGGCTTAGGAAGGGCTGATCCATGGGTCATTTTTCACTGGGAACCTTCATCATTGTTTGATAAATAAGGCATCATATGCTCTTCCAGTCTTAAGGGAGAACCTTTTTTTTCTTTGGTACCAAGGATCGAACTTGGGACCTTGCACTTGTGAGGCAGGCGGCAGAACCACTGTGCTAAATCCTTGGCTGAACCTTTTTCTCAGAAGGGTACAGGTATAAAGAATCTGCCCCTTTGGGTGTTGGGGACTTTCTCATTCTTACCTCCTGATCACTACAGACAGTGCGCACTTGGGGTGTAGAGGTGGCAAGACTTGCGTTCGGAATGATTAAGGCTGTTGGCAGTGATTAAGACTATGTCATAGATGAGACAGATACCCACAGTCACTGCGTTCTCAGTCATGAAGCCAGCACCATGGGAATGATTCATTTTCTGAACTTCAGACCCAGACAGAGGGAACGGAAATCTCTCCGACGTTTCTATTCACTTAGTAACCCAAACATTGCCCTAACTTTACATTAAGTTGAAATAGCTAGGTCACACAGACTTGTTTCTAAACAGGAGAATAGCTTCCTTTAACAATCTGCTTCCACCCAGGAGTGTGCCTGGCTCCTGGGCCCATAGTCCCTTGGGGCAGGGTAGGGATGTGACTCTGGCTGCTGCCTCCATTTATAGTAGGTTCTAGGCAGCCTTTGGGTAGCAGAGAGCTGCGAGGGTTCCACATACCAGCCACCTTTTTGTCAGGTGAGGAAATCGATGCACCTCGTGATTTTTATATAGCATTTGTGAGTGTGTGTACTGTATTGTTAGCATGCATAGGTATCCTAAGCCATACAGGGACAAAATCTGAAGATCATTTAGTCTACTATGTATTAATTTGTTTTTTTTTGTTTTTTTCTGTGTTTGTCAGAATGTTATGGAACAGTTCAATCCTGGGCTACGAAATTTAATAAACCTAGGAAAAAATTATGAAAAAGCTGTTAATGGTAAGTCTTGTTTTTCCAAATTGATCTATATACAGAACACATAAAAGTCACTCAGTAAATATATTACTTATTTTAAATGCTTAACAAGCAGGATGTGGTGGTACATGCGTGTGATCCCACCACTTGGCAAGCTGAGGCAGGAGGATTGCTGCATATTCAGGGCCAGCCTGAACTACACAGGAAGATCCTGCCTCCAAAAAAAAAAAAAAAAAAGCTAA